GAGGAGATGAGGGGCGACGGCAGGTACCGAGGCATCACCACTGATGCTCCTCTCTTCATTCATCCGCACAGCTGCTTGTCCGGTCAGACCCCGCAATGGGTAGTCTACCTCGAGCTCTCACAGACGTCAAAAGTCTACATGAAAGGAATTACTGTAAGGCGCCTCCTCCTCCTCCTGCTCATTATCCTCCTCCTCCTCCTCCTCCTCCTCCTCCTCCTCCTCCTCCTCCTCCTCCTCCTCCTCCTCCTCCTCCTCCTCCTCCTCCTCCTCCTCCTCCTCCTCCTCCTCCTCCTCCTCCTCCTCATTGATTCTCTTTGATCCTGCAGAGCTATCGCAAACTTTTCTTGTCGTTTTTCGTGTTCCCTGTCCTTCGAAGCTTCGTCTCTCTACCACCTGAATCCAATTCTCCAATGGAAGCAAACAGCAAGGCGACCTCAAGCTCGTTCAGGAGCGAATCAGCTGCAGCATGCAAGGCTTCGGGTCACCTGATCTTCTTCTCTGTCCTGCTCCTGGTGTTTGGCGTCGGAAGGACAAACCTCTTCAGTTTCTATCCGACCGGATCAATGGGAGGCTCTAGCACCATCTTCCCTCCTGCAGTGCTGCTGGCCTGCGGTGTTTGTTTGTGTGTCATCGGCTTGCTGGGCTTAGCGGTCGGGACCCTCCACCTGTCGCTCAACGTCAGCCATGCGACTCTTACCCTCGTGTCGCTCGCGCTTGAAGGAGCTCTCGGATGGTTCGTCTTTGTTTCGCAGGCCATCGCCTTTCACGCCTACGAGGCCGACAAGCTTGCAGTCTCCACCTTTGACAAGGGCCTGTGGATGCTCCAGATGTTCGGGGGGGCGTCCATGGGCGTCGCGCTCCTCGGCAGCCAGTTTTACTTCAGTCTGCAGCTCTACCGCATGCAGTCGCTGGAGGATGGGGCTGCTGTGTACGACAGCAAGTACCTCAGGAAGCGCATCGTCTTCTACAGCCTCCTCGTCGTGATAAAGGCCGGCTGTGAGGTGGCCATGGGGGTGCTCGTATACAAGAATGATCCCCCCTTGAATCCCGTGCAGTCGCCGTACATGAGCTTCAAGTACAGGCTCATCATTGCCGACGGCTGTATTACCCTCCTCGTCGGCCTCTACGGCATGGTCATCGGTATAGCAGGCTTGTCCAAGCAGGGCTTGTACTTCGCGCTTGTCGCCTTCTCTTCCTTGATCATCCAGCTGGGGATGTACGACCTTGCCCAGCTGTCACAGAGTATTCCTCTCCGTAGCTACCAGCTGGGAGTCCTCGGCGTCATCCTCGTGCCCTTGACCGTCGGGCTGATGTGCATGCCGATCTTCCTCGTTGCTGCCATGGACAGAGAGAAAGAAGGAGAGGAGGCGCCTGTACATCACACGCAGGGGATCGTATTCTCACAATCTCCTTGATGAAGGAGGCGCATAGGATGTTGGCTTCCAATGTTGTGGATGAAGATGAAGACACAAGAGATGAGACGACCCTTGTGTAGATATCAGTCTTGTAATGTATCAAGTTATCTCTCTCTTGCCCACTCTCTTATCTTTCATCACCTCAAACTCCCACACCTCCTATCACGCACTAGTAGAACTCTGCTTATCTTGTACATTACCATGACATCACGTGTAGCCGGTGCTGTAAGCTTCTGCTCCGTAGCTGGAAGCAAAGGGATTACCAGTCCTCATCCTGCTATGGGGTCAGGAAGCGGAGGGGACAAACGACTCCGTGCTAACCTCTCTGCTCCCTCCTCCTCCTTCACGTCCGTCCCGCACTTGGGGCAAGAACCCCACTGCAAGAGCAAGAGGATCAAAGGAGAACCTCCAAAAAGAATCTCATCCTGCTGACCTCCAGTTTCACTGGGTTCTCGCACGAGCCGCAAATGCCCCACCCTGGAGGAAGGAGCGGAGCTGAACAAGCGAGTGAGGCACAGGGAGCGAGAAACAAACAAAAAGAACGAGGACGAGCAAGAGGTTGAAGGGGGCATGAACGAGAGGGAGGAGGAGGAGGAGGAGGAGGAGAGAGGGCGGGCTTATTCAAGGAAGCGAAGGAAGAGGAACAAGATAGAGGATGGAGTGAAATCAGAGGGAACGAGAGGGTCATGCCTGTAAGGAGGCTGGATGTTCCCAGAATGGGGAGGACGGAGGTGAAGGCCGGAGATCCGAAGGGGCTGTGCGAAAAGCTCCTATCCATTCCGTTGGGCTGGAGGGGGTCATGTGAGGAGAGGAGATGAGATCACAGGGGAGGGGAGAGGAAAAGGACTGGGGCGTAGCAGAGGGCGACGAGGAGCGAGGAAGAGGACAAGGGATCAGTAAAGAGAATAACAAGGTGAGGGGAGAGGGTCAGCTGGAGGGGAAACCTGCGGAGAGGAGGTTGTGCTCATCAGGCTTCTGTTGATCTGCATGGGAGAAGAATCCTTGGGAGAATGCTGCAGGAAGCGAATGAGAGGGAGGGGGAAGGAGAGGGATAGCAGAAGGAGGAAGGAGAAGAGAGAGGGAGACGAGGAGGAGGAACGAGAGAGCAAGTGAAGCAACAAAGATGAGGAGAGGGAGGCAAGCCGGAAGATGGAGGGAGGAAGTAGAGAGCGAAGAGGGAGAGCGAGACGAGGAAGAGAAGAGAGCGAGACGAGGAAGAGAAGAGAGCGAGACGAGGAAGAGAAGAGAGCGAGACGAGGAAGAGAAGAGAGCGAGACGAGGAAGAGAAGAGAGCGAGACGAGGAAGAGAAGAGAGCGAGACGAGGAAGAGAAGAGAGCGACACGA